GGCCCCCAGAGCTCTCGACCCCTTCTTGGGGACCTCATTTCCATGCTGAGTCGGGTTAGGATGGCCACCCAACGCCAGCCTTGGTTGGCCCCGAATTTGCACAAGACTGGCCGAGCCGCCGGACGTCACTGGGAAGAGGAGCATCAGGCATTGGCAGAGAAGCATTGGGTGCTATACATGGGGGGGTGACGAAGGTGCACCTTAGGGGCACGAAAGGGGCAGGAAAGGTGCACGTTTCTTCGGCCCCCCCGTCTATAGCCCCCCCCCCTCTTTCATGAAGCATTGCCCAAGAGCAGAGTGAGCTGCAGCCGTGTGGGGTACATTCCTAGGCTCCCCCTGTTCAGGCCATGCGCTGGCAGGACGACCAGCCGACCGGCGACATTGCTCAGGAGCCGGGCCTCCAGGGCAACGACTTTGACGTCAGGATGCCCCCCCCCGCACGCTGCTGTCCCCCCAGACATGCTCGCGTCATGAGAACTCAACGGATGGTGTCTGGCCGTTTTCGGCCTCCAGGGGCCCAGGCTGGGCCCCGGGACCGCCGACACACGGCTCGGGATGGAAATCCAGCCTTGGGGAAACGATTTGTGACTCCCGGGGGCCCCGCATTGAAAAATCAGAAAAGGCGTGTTCTGCCGCTGCTGGCAGAAAACCGAGGGGGGGTCACTGGGGGTTTCCAACCCATGCCCCCCTCGAAAACCAGGGGGGGTCACTACCGGTTCGACCCCCCCCCCTGTCCATCAGGAAAAGGTGGGGGGGGGTCACTACCGGTTCGACCCCCCCCCTCCTCGCCGCCGGCAAAAGACTCCCGCTCCTCGGGACAGTGGGACAATGGTGGGGGCAGTGGGACAGTGGTGGGGACAGTGGGGACAGGTGGGGACAGGGGACAGTGGTGAGGGGACAGTGGGACACTGGTGGGGACAGTGGGACAGTGGTGGGGACGGGCATTTCTGGCGGGAACAGTGATGAGGGCGCTGGTGAGGACGGTGGTGGGACAACGGGACAGTGGTACAGTGGGGAGAGTTGTGGAGACAGTGGGGACAGTGGGACAGTGGTGGGGACAGTGGGGACAGTGGGACAGCACAGTGGGACAGCGGTGGGGACAGTGGGGACAGTTGGACAGTGGTGGGGACAGTGGGACAGTGGTGGGGACAGTGGGGACAGTGAGACAGCACAGTGGGACAGCGGCGGGGACAGTGGGGACAGTTGGACAGTGATGGGGACAGTGGGACAGAGGTGGGGACAGTGGGGACAATTGGGAGAGTGGGACCGTGGTGGGGACAGTGGTGGGGAAAGTGGGGAGAGTGGGACCGTGGGGGGGCACTGGTGGGGACAGTGGGGACTGTGGTGGGAACAGTGGGGACAGTGGGACAGTGGTGGGGACAGTGGGACAGTGGTGGGGACGGTGGTGGTGGGGACAGTGGTGTGGGGATAGTGGGGCAGTGGTGGGGACAGTGAGGACAGTGGGACAGTGGTGGGGACGGTGGTGGAAGGGGGGGGACAGTGGTGAGGGCGGTGGTGGGACAATGGGACAGTGGTACAGTGGGGACAGTGGTGGGGACAGTGGGACAGTGGTGGGACCCGTGGAACAGCTCAGTATGACAGTGGGTGGGGACAGTGGGGACAGTGGGACAGTGGTGGGGACAGTGGGGAGAGTGGGACAGCGGTGGGACAGCGGTGGGGACCGTGGTGGGGACAGTGGTGGGAACAGTGGGGACAGTGGGACAGTGGTGGAGACAGTGGTGAGGGCGGTGGGCCCGGGAGTCGTTTGCCGGAGGCGAGTGGGGGGGGGCATTCGAACCGGTAGTGACCCCCTTCGGTTTTCTGGAGGGGGGGGGTCGAATCGGTAGTGACGCCCCCTTGTTTTCCGGAGGGGGAGGAGGGGGGAGGTAGGGGGGGGGGGGAAGGGGGGGGAGCAGGGGGTGTGATTTTCGGAGAGGGGGGAGGACGTGGAGGGGGGAATTTTCGACAGATAAACGGCGGTGGATCACGCTCTCTCAAAAATTCCGATTGCGAAGGCCTGACGGCCGGTGCCGCCGACCCTGTGCGCAATGCGCAGCAAGAGGCACGGGCTGTGGGATGGTTTTGGGGAACGGGGAGAAGGACGAGAAGGTGGGGGAGGGAGGTGTCGTATCTGACCCGGGACTTCCCTGGGACTCCCCCGGTACCCCCCCCGGGACCCCCTCTCCCCCCCCCGTCGGGGAAGGGAAAGGGAAGGGGCTTCCCTTCGACTCAATTACGACGTTGCTCAAGGTCGGTACGGGGGGGGGCGTCGTATCCCCGGGGGGGGGTCGCCCCCCCCGCTACCCCCCGGCGGGGGAGGGATCAAAGGGAAGGGGCTTCCCTTCGACTCAATTACGAGGTTGCTCAAGGTCGGCTTGGCTGGAGCCCGAAGAGGAGTCCCAGGGGGGCGTCGTATCTGATCAAAGGGAAGGGGCTTCCCTTCGACTCAATTACGAGGTTGCTCAAGGTCGGCTTGGCTGGAGCCCAGGGGAAGGGAGTCCCAGGGGGGGGCGTCGTATCTGACCCGGGGGGGGGGGTCGCTCGCTACCCCCCCCCCCTCCCGGCGGGGGAGGGATCAAAGGGAAGGGGCTTCCCTTCGACTCAATTACGAGGTTGCTCAAGGTCGGCTTGGCTGGAGCCCAGGGGAAGAGGAGTCCCAGGGGGGGGCGTCGTATCTGACCCGGGGGGGGGGTCGCTACCCCCCCCCCCTCCCGGCGGGGGAGGGATCAAAGGGAAGGGGCTTCCCTTCGACTCAATTACGAGGTTGCTCAAGGTCGGCTTGGCTGGAGCCCAGGGGAAGAGGAGTCCCAGGGGGGGGCGTCGTATCTGACCCGGGGGGGGGGTCGCTACCCCCCCCCCCCTCCCGGCGGGGGAGGGATCAAAGGGAAGGGGCTTCCCTTCGACTCAATTACGAGGTTGCTCAAGGTCGGCTTGGCTGGAGCCCAGGGGAAGAGGAGTCCCAGGGGGGGGCGTCGTATCTGATAAACGGCGGTGGATCACGCTCTCTCAAAAATTCAGATTTCGCATGGCGGGGTTGCGACCACTTGCGAACTTCCCCCCTCCGGGCCCACTCAACGTCGGGGTATCGGACACCCCCGCTGGGGTTCTCTAGGCTGCAGACATCCTTCGAATTCTGGACTTGAGAGAGGGCGATCTGGACAAGGGCGGCGGCGGCGGCCGCGAATCGCCGGGTCGCCGGATCGCCGGGTCGCCGGGTTGCCGGGTCGCCGGGTCGCCGTGTCGCCGGGTCGCCGGGTCATCGGATCACGGGATCGCCGGATCGCCGGATCGCCGGGTCGCCGGGTCGCCTGGTCGCCGGGTCGCCGGGTCGCCGGGACGCCGGGGCGCCATGTTGCCGGGTCGCCGGGTCGCCGGGTCGCCGGGTGGCCGGGTCGCCAGGTCGCCGGGTCGCTGGGTCGCCGGGTCGCCAGGTCGCCGGGACGCCGGGTCGCTGGAACGCCGGGTCGCCGGGTCGCTGGGTCGCCGCAACGCTGGGTCGCCGGGTCGCCGGGTCGCCGGGTGGCCGGGTCGCCGGGTCGCCGGGTCGCGGGTCGCCGGGACGCCGGGTCGCCGGGTCGACGGGTCGCCGGGTCGCCGGGTCGCCGCGGGTCGCCGGGTGGCCGGGTCGCCGCGAATCGCCGGGTCGCCGGGTCGCCAGGTCGCCAGGTCGTCGTGGTCTCTTGATTCACCGGTCGAGGTGTCCATGATGAAGACGATTGTGATGATGGTGATGCTAGTGCCGCTGTCGACTCTGTCGCTGACGATGGTGATGCTTGTTGATGACGATGCTGATGGTGATGATGATGGCCTGATGATGGTGATGGTGATGGTTATGGTGATGGTGATGGTGATTTGATGATGATGCTGATGATGACGACGACGACGCTGATGGTGGTTGTCATGATGATGATGACGATTTAAACCAGGAAGGGGATGATAAGGAGAAACAAGACGAGGAAGAGGAGTAGGAGGGTAGGGAGATCAGGCGAAATACGAGGGTTGGACGGAAGAAGGAAGACGAGGAGGAGGAGGAGAACATTGAGGGGGAGCAGGATGGGGTTGAAGGCGACAATTAGCGACACGGACGACGACGGCGACGAATCATCCATACAAGTTTCTGCCAATCTGCCGCTCTTCGGAGCCTCTTCGGAGCCGTTTTGGCGCCCTCTTGGGCTCCTCTTGGGGCTTTCGGAAGCCACCTCGGGGCCTCGGAAGATCATCGGAAGGGAAAATGCGAGACACAAAAACACACACACGCACACACACACACACACACACACACAAGTGCATTCAAGGTTTTGGAGAAATTGGGTTTCTTGGGAGTCTTCTTGGGGGTCCATGACCACCTGGATTCGTCTTGCGAGGTCATCGGGGCCGCCTGGAGTTTCTTGGAAGCTATCTTGAGCCGTCTGGGCATATTCTGAGCCATCTTGGAGGCCAGCTTGGGCTCTCTGAGGCCTTCTTGGAGCCATCTTGGGCCACCTTGGACGCTCCAATGGATCGCCGCCCCTCCCGTCCAAACCCAGGGGGAGGGGTCAGCGGGAGAGGCGCAACCTCCCCAAAGGGGAAGAAGGGGAGGTTGGAAGGGGTAAGCACTCCCAGAAAGAGGCGGATAGGGCTTCAGGCGATCGCGACAAGGACGATTACGGCGAATATTCTATTATACAGGTTTTCGCGGATCTTCCTTTCTAGGACTCTCTTGGGGGCACTTGGGGGCTGTCAGGCCCTCTTGGAGCTACTTGGGACGTCTTGGACGCTCCAATGGGTCGCTGCCCCCATCGTCCAGACCCAAGGTGGGATAGCGGGAGGGGCAAGCCCCAGTCCGAAGGAAAGAAAAGGGAGGTTGGAAGGGGAACCGATCGAACCACCTCCGCCCAGATTGCTGCTGTGTTTCGTTCGGTGTTTGTGTATTTCGTTTTCTTTGGGCCTCGGAGGGTTCCTCGTCGTCACGATCGGATTCGCTTCGAAACCTTGGTGGGAATGCTCTGGTCCAGAGGTCCGGGGGCTTGGAGGCAGATCAAGCTGTCGCCGTCCCCGTCATTCCTCATCCTCCTCCCTCCCTCGTTTCCGTTTTTCTGCTCTCTCTTCCTTTTCTTCCCCTCCCCTCTCACATTCTTCCCTGGTCCTCCTACCGTAGCGTTGGCTCGGCTAGCATTGGCTCGGCAGCGATGACGCGGCGCGGCGTTTGCTCTGCAGACCGCCGGCAACGGTGCAGGTGCCCAGAGGGAACTCCCAGATCCCTCCGGGAATTCCCCGTGAACCCTCGGTTGCAAACGAAACGGCCCAAAAGGAAAGCTGAGGAAACGAACGCAGCCGAGGAGACCAGAAAGACAGAGGCTGCGGAGGGGAGGAAACCAGAGGAGACCAGTAGAGCCGAGGCGGCCAAGAAGACAGAGGCTAAGGAGGGCAGGAAGGCAGAGGAGACCGGGAAAACCGTGGAGGGCCGGAAAGCGAAAACTACCCAGGAAAGGAACGCTCAGGAGAGCAGTAAAGCCGAGGTGGCGAAGGAGGCAGAGGCTGAGGGCATGAAGGCAGAGGAGACCAGAAAAACTGAGGAGGACTGGAAGGCCAAGGCTACGGGGGACAGGAAAACGCAGGGGGCCAGAAGCGCCGAGGAGGCCAAGAGGGCGAAGGCTGAGGAGGAGAGGAAATCAGAGGACACCTACAAGGCCGAGGAACGGAAAAGGAGAGGAGGCTTCGGAGAACGACCAGCGGGGGGGGCGCGGGGGGCGCGGGCGCTCGCGGGGCCGCTGGCTGGCTGGAGGAGACGGCTGGCGCAGCGATTGGGCGAGAGGCGGTCGGTCCAAGGACTCGCGGGGGAAGCTGGGGGCCGGCGCTGATTGGGACCAACAGAAGCGACGCAAGCAGGAAAGCGAGAACGAGGGCAAGCGCGCCGGGGGCCCTGCGAAGCGGACTGGCGAGCCCGAACGGCGCGGACAACCTCGGGCTCTACGGGGCGCTCGGGCTGCGACCGTGGCGTTCGGAGAAGGACGTCAAGGTCGCGTTCCAGGACCTCGCAAAGAAGTGCCACCCTGACAACGTGAAAGGGGGGCCGGAGACCGTGGCGAAGGCCATGTCTACCCTGTTCGTGAGGGCCGCTGAGGCTGGGCCGGCGCTCCAGGACGCCTCTCTCCGCGCGGCTTGCGACGCTGCTTGCTGGGGCCCCAGGGGTCGGCCCGCCCCCCCGCCCCCAGAGGGGCGGTCTGCGCGCGTGTCCCGAACGACGGGGGGGGTCTACTTCTTCAACGAGGAGACCGGCGAGTCCACCTGCGACCTCCCTACGCGGGCCTCGCTGACAGGCTTGCCCGCCGGCTGCCGCGGCTCCGCCGACCGCGCCGAAGCAAAATATCGTCATCGTCGCCTCGCTGCGCTGCCGCCGCCGTCAGGGGAGGGGGGCAGGGGCCGCTGGCCGAGTGGCCGAGTAGGCAGCTACAGGGGCACCCGAGACGGCAGCCAAGAGAGAAGCCACGCAGGCAGCCAGGAAAACGCCCAGAGAGGCAGCCAAGAAGGCAGCCAGAACTCAGCCAAGTAGGCAGCCGAGAAGGCAGCCAGGAAGGCAGCCAAGAAGGCGCCCAAGAAGGCAGCCAAGAAGGCAGCCAAGAAGGCGGCCAAGAAGGCAGCCAAGTAGGCAGCCGAGGAGGCAGCCAAGAAGGCAGCCAAAAAGGTAGCCCAGTAGGCAGCCGGAGAGGCCGCCGGAGAGGCAGCCAGGAGCCAAGAAGGCAGCCAAGAAGGCAGCCGGAGAGGCAGCCGCGAAGGCATCCAATATACGGTTCTCGAAATGTTCCAGCCCGCTTCGCATGCAACATCCTCGTAACCCAGGGCCCCGAGGCGCCTTGGCTTGAGATGTTCTGGCCGCTTTCGCCGGAGAGATCCCCCCAATTCCTAGATCCAGCGTGCGGTTCTCGAAGTGTTCCAGCCTGTTTTGCGCGAGACATTCTCGGATCTCTGGGGCCCGAGCCGCTTTGACTTGAGGTGATTTGACCAGGGCCAGAGCCAGGGCCAAAACCAGAGCCATAACCAGAACCAGAACAAGAGCCAGAGCCGGAACTAGAACGAGAGCCAGAACCAGAACGAACCAGAGCCAGAACCAGAAACAGAGCCATAACCATAACCAGAACCAGTACCAGAGCCAGAACCAGAAGCATAACCAGAGAACGGTGACGACAGCCAGAGCCAGAGCGAGATTCAGAGCTAGGGCCAGAGCCCGAAGCAGAGCCAGAACCAAAGAATTATCCTGGCGAAGGACCCAACCATATGCAAACGTGAATACCGCAGGGCAGGTGGGACGAAGCAAAAGGAATTCCCAATGCGGCCACGAGACGTGTGAGGGGTGCGCCACACTGGGGCGGGGCCGCCATGCGAACCCTGCCTCTGAGGCCTTCGGTGGAGCTCCCTATGTCCCTGCGGGGCCACGAACCGTGTGAGGGGTGCGCCAATGCGGGGCGGGGCCGCCATGCGAACCCTGCCGCTGGGGCCTTCGGTGGAGCTCCCTATGGGGCCACGAACCGTGTGAGGGGTGCGCGAAAATGAAGCGGGGCCGCCATGCGAACCCTGCCGCTGGGGCCTTCGGCGGAGCTCCCTATGGGGCCACGATCCGTGTGAGGGGTGCGCCAAAATGGGGCGGGGCCGCCGTGCGAACCCTGCCACTGGGGCCTTCGGTGGAGCTCCCTGTGGGGCCACGAACCGTGTGAGGGGTGCGCCAAAATGGGGCGGGGCCGCCATGCGAACCCTGCCACTGGGCTTCGGTGGAGCTCCCTATGGGGTCACGACCGCGTGAGGGGTGCGCCAAAATGGGGCGGGGCCGCCATGCGAACCCTGCCACTGGGCCTTCGGTGGAGCTCCCTATGGGGACACGAAGGCCGCCATGCGAACCCTGCCACTGGGGCCTTCGGTGGAGCTCCCTATGGGGCCACGAACCGTGTGAGGGGTGCGCCAAAATGGGGCGGGGCCGCCATGCGAACCCTGCCACTGGGGCCTTCGGTGGAGCTCCCTATGGGGCCACGAACCGTGTGAGGGGTGCGCCAAAATGAGGCGGGGCCGCCATGCGAACCCTGCCACTGGGGCCTTCGGTGGAGCTCCCTATGGGGCCACGAACCGTGTGAGGGGTGCGCCAAAATGGGCGGGGCCGCCATGCGAACCCTGCCACTGGGGCCTTCGGTGGAGCTCCCTATGGGGCCACGAACCGTGTGAGGGGTGCGCCAAAATGGGGCGGGGCCGCCATGCGAACCCTGCCACTGGGGCCTTCGGGGGCCTTCGGTGCGAGCCATCCCTATGGGGCCTACGAACCGTGTGAGGGGTGCGCCAAAATGGGGCGGGGCCGCCATGCGAACCCTGCCACTGGGGCCTTCGGTGGAGCTCCCTATGGGGCCACGAACCGTGTGAGGGTTGCGCCAAAATGGGGCGGGGGCGCCATGCGAACCCTGCCACTGGGGGCCTTCGGTGGAGCTCCCTATGGGGCAACGATCCGTGTGAGGGGTGTGCCGAAATAGAGGCATGCGGAGGGTGATGCTGATGATGACGCCGAATATCATGGTGATGTTGATGATGACGATGACGATGATGACGGTGATGATGATGGTGGGAGGAGGGAGGAGGGGGGGGGGAGGAGAGGGGCGAGGACGCGGGCGCTGTCTCTTCAAAACGAGGACCCAACACCACAGGATGGTTGGGAAACAACATAACCATAACCAATACCACGACCCAGTCGCGAACCCGAATCAGGACCAATACCATGGGCAGAACAAAAGACATAAGCAGTGCCAGCGAGGGGTCCGCACTGAAATCTGGGAACAGAGCCGCAGGTAGAACCAGAGCCAGAAGCAAAAGCCCGACCAACAGCCAGAATTGCACCCGTACCGCTTGCAGAAGCACAAGAAGGTCAGACCCCAAATCCAGAACCAGAGCCAAAACCATCGTCGGCACCATCATCATCATCACCATCGCGATGCTAGCAATAAGGAGCAGCATCATCGTGACCAGCATCGTCATCATCGTCGTAACCATCATCATTTCCATTGTCGTGTGCGTCGTCGTCGTTGTCACCAGGGCCAACGTCGTTTCCCGCGCCGCCACCATGAGAATCACCCGCCCCTAAGGAGCCCATTTTCGAATCAAGGTTGAGCCCGCGCGAGCTCGCTGCGCTGTCGCCGCCTGTGCAGCGTGGAGCTGGGACTGGCGAAGATGGTTGGCGAGCCGGGGGCACATTTTTCATTGAGTACACTAATGCATCCGTTGCCTGCAGCTGCCTGCGGGGTCGTGGCACGCGCGCAATCATGCGTGCCAAACGATTGGCTCCGCCTTTTGTGTGATCTTTGCTGCGCAAAGGACTGAAGTTAGAGGCTGCAGATCACGTAATTAAGAAAGTATTGTGGAAGCTCCAATCGCAAGTGGGAATTGGGAATGCCAGAGAGCGCGACTTGAATCATCCAGCATTGAAGGAGATGCAGGAATTGCGCCCCGAGTCGGAGACTGCACTTCTCTCGTCCACACACGGCCAATGCCCGAAACGCGAAAAGATTGATTTGGTGATCCAGAGGCCGCATTGGGAACAAATGGGAAGAAAAGAGCGCGGCTTCTGCTTCGCAGGATTTTCGTTTCCGAATCTACACTCCCGGCGCAGGGGTCCAATGTTGTAGATTCCGTTGGGGGTACTGTCCATCCTGCAAGCGCTACTTCGTCGGCAATTGAAGGTGCAGAAAGGATGCGGGCATCGACGGTCGCGCAAACTTCGGCAAGATGTCTGGCATCGCCGCCGTGCCCGCGCAGGCGGCCTTGCCATGCTTTGCGGTGGCCCGGGAGAAAGCGCGGCACGCGTTGGACCTGCAGCTGTTGCAGCTCATAACTGATGACTTGCAACGCAGCGGCGGCACGTTCGCATCTGCCATCCACGCGCGGGCCAAGCTGCAGGGCGTGAGCAGCAGAACCTCATCCTGGGCGACTTCGCGACACAGACAGACCGCGCGCGCGTGCGTCTGGAGGACGCCTGGCACATGCACAATGAAATTCGTTTGGCAGGAGCCAACGGTGGGAATTGCGAGTGGTCTTGCACGGAGAGCGGCATAGAGCGCGCCCTTGCGAATATTGCGGCATGCGCGCGAAGGGCGCACCTGGCGCGCATCGCGGAGCACGCGCGGACGCGTCCGAAATTCGTTGACGAGCTCGCGGCGCTGCTTGATGACAAGCGCGGCGCCCGCCGATTCGTCTGCGGCGGCTTGGAAGGCCATGAACCCATGGAGGGCCTGGAGTTGGAGTTGTACATTGGCTGCCGACGGCGCGCCCCCACGAGGCAATTATTTTGCAATTTCTGCCGCCCGTCAAAGATAGAACAAGCGCACTTGATACCCCAGAAGGAGATCTTGGGCGTCGCTCCTCCCGGGCCGGCCGCTGACGGCGTCTCCGCGCTGCGGTGCGTGATGAGCTGCTACGACCTCGATTTGCCGGGGCGCCCCTTCGACGCGCACTTGCCGCGAGCCGAGGTGGACGAGGACTTGCTGGCGAAGTTCGAGAAGTCGTTGCTTCGGAGCTGGGGCGGCCGCGGCAACGGGAAGTCGCGCCCGGCGTGGATCAAAGGAAGCCGGCAACTTGCGCGCTGGCTGAGGAAACAGACGCCGGCTTGTGGGCCGCCCAGCTCGGTCGCAGCGAGCAGTGGCGCAAGCGCTCAGGGTGGGACAAAGAGATTTCGGCGCGGCTCTGCTTCTCGGGCGCCAGCCCAGAAGGCGGCCCAGGCGGGCAGAGGCCGCGGGGGCGAGGCTGCGGGCGTTTCGCGCCGATCAGGAAGAGGGGGCGCTGGCGGGGCTTTGGCCGCGGCGCCGAAGCGGCCAGCTCCAGCCAGGTCGAAGAACCGGCCGGCGGCGGCCGACGTGGGCAGCAGCGCAGGCAGCGCCCGCTCATTGAGGAGCCGCTGCAAGGGATGGCTTGCTCTGGACAGCAAGCAGGAGGAAGCTATCCAGGCGCGCGGCGTCGACAAACTCCACGGAAGTAACGAAGTCAGACGCTGCGCTGGAGGCGTCGTGACAGCAGCCACATCGCGCGGCATGCTGGTGGACTGGGTGGAGCTCTTCCGGGGCGAGTCCATCGAGCTGCTGCATGCCTTCGCGCTGCGGCTTCACAAGGGCGGATGGCGACGCCCGAGGTTCTGCTCACGTCACGAGTCCCCCCAATTCGGCCAGCGTGGAGGGAGGGATTGAAGGGTCGATGGGGTCGCGAAAGGGCGCAATAGGAGGATGGAGAGGCGGAAATGGAGGGGGGGAGAGGAAGGAAAGGAGGGGGGGGGGGCGGGGGGGGAGAAGGGCGAGGGGAGGGGAAAGGGAAGGGAGATGGAGGAATGAAGAAATGCATGCACGGATGCATCTCTTTTCGGGGGTGGGCGGGGCACGGGCTGAGCAGAGCGCCCTGGCGCCGGCGTCGACCGGGCAGGATGGCCGCGAGCTGGGCTTCGTCATTGCGGCCCTGGGATGCGACAATGCGCGCGAGCTTCTGTCACTTGCCCGGGCGAAAGAGACAAAGTATCTACCATGGGCGAAATCTTTCGTGGGGAAGTGCGGATGGTGTTGGACAGGTTCCACCGGGGCAACCACGCTTGGCGCTTGAACAACATGCCAGATGTGGACCCCCTGAGGCTAGATAATGCCAAGCTGTTGGAGAAGAAAAACACGGGGGCATGTGAGCAATTGAACTCTTGGATCAGCGGCAGGACACGGAATGGCCTGGAGATGACGCGGGGGCACTTCCAAATTCATTGGTGGATCCTTTTTGACGCCCACAACCAATGGCTTGAGCGAGAAGCGGCACGCGGGCGCAGACGTTGCGAGGCGGGGCCCGTGCAGCGCCAGACGAGTGGAGCACCTCAGGATGCGGGGACAGCTAGCAAGTAGGCGTCTAGCCCGCACTGACACGGCGTGGCCACTTGCATTGCGTAGTTTTTTTGCATGCCAGCTGGCTTTACCTTCGACCCTTTGGGAGCGCGTTGCGCTCCGGATTGGAACTGTAGAGTTGCAGGTGCGTCGAGAGCAGCAAAAAACATAGAATGAACATCGCTGTTATCGCACGCATAGCTGACACCTCGCAGCCCACATCGCATAGGTTGCACCACATGGCTTGCATCGCATAGCTCACGCCACGCACATAGCGCACGATACTTAGCCACCTAGCCTACGCAATATCGACTACACCGTATAGCTTACTCCGCTGATCTTGCACCACTAGCAATGCAAACAGAAGCAACTAGCACTGCCCGCCTCGGCGTCGACGCCACTAGCAGTGCAAACAGAAGCGCGCGCATCGCCGCCATTACCGAAGATCCCAACAGCAGCAGCAGTATCAAGCTGTCGCGGAACTCCCAGGAGGCGCTGCACGGCGCCGCGCGCCCAAGAAACTTCAGTGTGAACGACAACAGCTACCATGCACCGGCTCGCGCTCAGTGCGATGTTCGGCTTGGCTTTCCGTGGGGTCTACGTTGCAGCGACTCCGAAGGCCCGCCGTTTAGGGCGCGGCGCTGATGCGTGCCAACAAGCCCCCGCGTTGACGAAAAGAGAGATTCGGACTATATACCGGATCATGGATAACCAAAACCCATTCCCCGAGCAGGCAGTGCGGCGGGCAACGCCGCTCATGTGGGCTGTGGCCTCGGCGTTGGGCAAGGCGGCCTCTTTGCGCGCGTCGTGAGTGCACGTCCACGTCATGATTCTGGTGGCCACATCTCTCGGGGCAGTTCGGTTCAAGTACGGTGGAATCTTATCCCGACAATGCAATCTGCTCATGATCCAGCATAGCCCACCTGGGGATGGAAAGTCGGTCGCACTGCGGTTGGACGTGCAAGTGCTGGCCTTCTTCGACATGATACGGGAGAGGCGAGCCAAGACAAATTACGACGAGGCCGAACAGAAACGCAAAGAGGACCCAGATAACAACCCGCAGCCGGCGAAAAAAGAACATGCCAAAGACACCATCTTCAACAAAGGGACGTTCATCGGCCTCGGGAACTTCATGCAGGCGCAAGGGGGGGCCGCATTTCTTGCGCTACACGAGGGGAAAACATGGCTACCCCAGACCTTCGACAACGGCCCAGGCGGCGGCATCGACGACCACAACCAAACTCACGATCATGACATGTACAAGAACCATTCTTGGAATACCCAGAATCGCTGTCTCGTGCGAAACCCGCATTTGCGCGGAGCGGTCATGATGCACGTCGAAAAAGTGTACGACCAGGCGCAGAAGCCCGACACCACCGCGGGCATGATGCGTTTCCTGATCGGACATTTCTCAGCCGTTCTCATTATGGAGGAGTTGCGGCAGATTGTGCCAGAAGCTCACGAAGACACGGTGGGGGGTGATCACTCTGTTGCAGACAGGCCCCGCTTCGAATGCCAATCCTGCCCGTGTCGCCGGGTCGCCAGGATGCCAGGTCGCCGGGTTGCCGGCTCGCCGGGTCGTCGCGTCGCCGCGTCGCCGGGTCGCCCGGTCGCCGGGGCGCCGCCGGGGCGCCGGGTCGCCGGGTCGCCGGGATGCCAGGTCTCCCGGACGCCGGGTCGCCGGGTCGCCGGATCGCCGGATCGCCGGATCGCCGGGTCGCCGGGTCGCCGGGATGCCGGGTCGCCAGGTCGCCGGGTCGCCGGGTCGGCGGGTCGCCGGGTCGCTGGGTCGCCAGGAGGCAGGGTCGCCGGGTTGCCGGGTCGCCGGGTCGCCGGGTCGCTGCATGGGTCGCCGGATCGCCGGATCGCCGGGTCGCTGGGTTGCCGGGATGCCCGGTTGCCGGGTCGCCAGGTCGCCGGGTCGCTGGGTTGCTGTGTGGCCGCGTCGCCGGGTCGCTGGGTCGCCGGGAGGCCGCGTCGCCGGGTTGTTGCCCGGTCGCCGGGATGCCGGGTCGCCGGGTCGCCGGGTCGCCGGGTCGCCGGGTCGCCGGGATGCCGGGTCGCCGGGTCGCCGGGTCGCCGGGGCGCCGGGTCGCCGGGTCGCCGGGTCGATCGCCGGGTCGCCGGGTCGCCAGGCCGCGTCGCCGGGTCGCTGGACGCCAGGTCGCGGGGTCGCCGGGTCGCGGGGTCGCCGGGTCGCCGGGTCGCCGCCGGGTCGCCGGCCCTTGTGGAGTTCTCTTTGACTTGAGAAGTTATCTTTCGTAGGAGCCCCATCACATTGATTGGGAGGAAAAGCAGTTTTCAAACACTTTTTGAACACCCAGGGGGCCTCTCGACAAATCGATCTGATTTCCGCTCAGCCCTAGCGGGGCGCCCGCATCAAAGGGGGAGATGGGGGAGACAGGGAGGCAGAACAAGGAGAGGTGAGGGAGGGCAGAGCGTTCTAGGATCTCTGAGGCTTGGGTTCTCTCAAGCCACGCAGCAGCCAGTCTTGTTCTCGTAACACAGGCTTTCAGCCAACGCAGATCCCGCGAGGAACCAGCGCCCACTGGTCCCCAGAACAAAGCAGAGGATTCATTACGCAGAGCACAATCGCTTGAGCCAATAAGTAAGTGTTGCTGGGTTCCCATTGGGCCTGCCAACTACGCAAATGAACTGAGACAAGACAACTAACAATCATGATCAAGCCGCAAGTGAATCCAGCATAATACAACCACCCTTTGGGTGTTCCAGAATCATCCAGGCTCAGCAATTTTGGCACTGAGCGATCCCAACCTCAATGTAGCTGAGTGGTTGGCCGCCGCTGAAGGCGAATCCAGCGATGATGAGAGCCTGTTCGAGCCAATCGATGTGAGTCCGTTTGACCTAGATTCGCTCGGACATGTTGCTGCGGAGGCAGACCCGAGTCAAGACGTGGATGCGATGTTGGCTGCTTAGGCTTCCTTGTCTAGCGACGGGCTGCAGGGAGACGACGAGCGGCCAGCCGCTGCTCTCGCCGAGCCCGAGGACGCAGTGGTGGCAGCCCTTCCCTCTCTTGTGGCCGAGTCCCCTGCAGCATGCCAGCCACCTAACCCAGCCCTAATAGATGCCATCACCGTTCGCGCTGCCAGAGCACAGCTTCGGACGATTGCGGAACATGCGAAGCGTCTTGTGTCGCGTGCTTCTGGTCGAGCTTGTGACGGTGTGGAAGCATTCGAGGATGGCGACATTGAGATCCCGCATGCCTCTGAAGGCCCGCTGGAGAACCCCCTGGTGGTGCCTAGGGTCACGAGCTCGACGGCCAGACGCTCACCCGAGGAACTCCAGAGGTCCTCTGGCGCATCGCACATTTGATTCGGACTGGACGCATCGACCACATTAGACAGGATATTAATTTCACTAGGGTCGCGGATGATGATTTATCTAGACGTGGTGCATGGTTGACAGTGAACACGTGCACCGACCATACCCAGCGATTGATGGTACCTAGGAAGACGTTGCTTCAGACGGCATCGAGACTAGCATGTGTCTCACTGTTGTTATTTTATTGGCAAACGGGAGATAAGACCAACGCGTTGTGCGAGACCGTGACGGCTTCCAGCGACGGCAGTCTGCACGCTCTCTCGACGTTCTGGCCTTGCGACGAGACCCCACATTTGACGCACCCCAAAGGGTGGCCAACAGGGGGTCTCTGTACTTTGGGGGTGAAGAGCCTTTCTTCGGTGGGGGAAGGGCAGGGGGGGGAACAAGAAGGGGTGTTAAAGGGGAGGGGGGGGGGGGGGGGGGGGGGGGGGGGGGGGGGGACGGGAAGGGGGGGGGTAAGCAAGGGGGGGCAAGAAAAAGGGTGGGACATAAAGGGCGGTTTACGCAGGGGGGCCCTAAAGGGGGGGGGGGAAGGGGGGGCGTACAGGGGGGTTAGAAAGGGGGGAGTTGCAAGAGACGGGGCAAAAAGGGTGGGTAAAAAAGGGAGGGGGGGGGGGGGGGGGGGGGAAGGGGAACCAAGAAATGGGGGGTAAAGAGGAAGTAAGACAGGCAGAGTTGTACTACTTCTACTTCTATTACGTCTACTTCTAGTATTACTATTGTTACTGTTACTTACTACTACTGCTATTATTATTACTACTATTACTTTTTACTACGACTGCTACTATCACTACTACTACTACTACTACCACTACTACTACTACTACTACTACTACTACTACTACTACTACTCATCTGGTTTCTACTACTACTACGACTACGACTACTACTACTACTACTACTACTACTACTACTACTACTACTACTACGACTATTCCGACTAGTACTACTACTACTACTACTACTACTACTACTACTACTACTACTACTGCTACTGCTACTACTACTACTACTACTACTACTACTACTATGACTACTACTACTACTTCTTCTTCTTCCACTACTACTTCGCAACCGCCTACTACTACCACCGCTACTACCACCACCACCAGTACTACCACCACCACCGCTACTACCACCACCATTGTCATTGTGACTTGCTGTCGCTGGAGCCCCACTGCGCGGGCTCACTCCGCAGCCTCCATTTCGCTCGCGGCGCGGCGGTGGATGGACCTGCTGGACTTCATTGACGGCGGCGGCTCGCCGTCTGTGGCGGGGCCGCCTCAGGCGCGCGAGAAATCGCGGGGTCGGGGGTCCCAAGAACAGAGCCCAGAGACCTGGGGGTGTCGGGGCCGGGTGGAAGCGAGGTGGCGGCCAGGCGGGGGGCATGGGCCGATTTTGGGCGAGAAATCGCGGGGCCGGGGGTCCCAATAACAGAGCCCAGAGGCCAGGGGGTGTCGGGGCCAAGTGGGGGCGAGGTGGCGGCCAGGCGGGGAGGTATGGGTCGATTTTGGGCGAGAACTCGCGAAGTCGGGGGTCCCAAGAACAGAGCCCAGAGGCCTGGGGGTGTTGGGGCCAGGTGGGGGCGAGGTGGGGGCCAGGTGGGGGGTGTGGGGGTCGATTTCGGGCAAGAAATCGCGGGGTCGGGGGTCAAGAACAGAGCCCAGAGGCTTGGGGGT